GCGGGCGGCCGGGAGGTCGCGGCTGGGACTGCGCGACGGTGTCATCCCGGCCTCGGTTCCTCCTCCGAGCCCGCGACTCGGTGGTCCCGCGCGGACCTGCTGGCCCTTCCCGCCCTTTCAGGGCAGTGAGCCACTCCGAGATCGCGCGCTTTGCAAGGGGGACACATCCGTGAAGATTTACGCGCCAAAATGTCTTCTGTCGAAATAATAACCTACATATCCAACGCACGACGCAAAATTTTTAAAGAAAAAAGGATAGGTATATGAAATTACCGCATAGCACGATGATCAGATGTTAAATGTTCAAAATTCTCTGGGTGGTGGGAATACACAGATAATTATACGTCTCTATATGCTCCCATTTCTTCATAATAAAAACGATATTTTGTGAGAAAGGAACCCAAGTAAACCTTATTTCAAATCTAAGGGATGGGGAGCCCCACACCGGATTCGGGGTAAGACGTGGAGACTGTTTCTTGTCCTCCATACCTCACAGGAACCGAAGTGAAGGAAATTGAGAGTCGACACGCCATACACATGGAGGGGGTTATGGTCTTTGCTCCTGGGCAGCTCTGAAAAGTTGAGTGCCAGCAAGAATCGTTTTTTCATCCCGTGCGATGACCCGTTGTCCCAGCACCGAGAGCCTGTCGTTTTGCCCACTCACCTGTAACTCATCTCTCACCCACACAGTTATCAGGTTTCTCTATACAGTGTTCTGTTTCTGTTGGTTCAGGGGAGAGAAAAAAGACATATTGCCTGCAATATAAATTTGTCAAAAGCATACAAGTCCACAGATTTAAAAGCTTAGCAGCCATGAAAAGCTGTTCTAAACCTGCTCATTTGTCACGGACTAATATATCACTAGTGGAAAATAACCAGCAGAAGGAGCCAAAGATTTAAAGAGAAGGTTGTGGTTTAAGAAAAACACAACACTTTAAAAATTGATCCAAATCGTATAGGCGTCCTCTGATAGGTCCTTTCCACACGAAAATTTGGAAAAGAATGCCGTTATTCTCTTTCCAGGAAGAAACAGTTGTGCGCAGCTGAAGAAACGAGTTTGAGACCCGCTGCGCTGTATCCGCGTGGTAAAACTGGGGCCGTCGTAGCTGCGTTTGCCGCTAGATGGTGGTGTTGCTGAAAGTGAGTCTTAATTCGTAGACAGACTAGCGTAGGGAATGAGAGGTATTTGCCCTCCTGGCGTTAGATACCATTATCCGATGATAATCACACACACAAAATACGTTACACAGTGTGACAAGTACTGAAGTGCAAAGCAGACTTGGAGACACTGATGGAGATCGCTACCTGTTTCAAAGGTAAAATTTCTCTTTGCGAAAACAGGAACTTAAATATGTTGCACTTTCATCATATGACTTGAGGCTTTTATTATCTTGTCTACAGTTGTGTATAATTATTTGTAGCTTGTAAGACAACCCTTTCTCTGGAGGTAGGACCTAGGAATATGCCGTAAAAAAAACAACCTAAATGATTCTAATACATGTGGTCATCAACCTACACTTTGAGAAACACTTCTCAGTATCGTGATGCTTTTTTTTTCTTTAAAGGTATGCTTTTTGGTGAGGAAGATTGGCCCTGAGCTAATGTCTGTTGCCAATCTTCCTTTTTTTTTTTTCTTCTCCCCAAAGGCCCAGTGCATAGTTGTATATCCTGGTTGTTAGTCCTTCTAGTACTTCCATGTGGGACGCCACCTCAGCATGGCCTGATGAGCAGTGTGTAAGTCCCCGCCAAGGATCCGAACCAGGGAACCCCGCCGCCCTAAGCGATTGCACGGACTTAACCAGTTGGCTACCGAGCCAGCCCCAGTATCCTGATTCTTAATTTTTCGTTTGAGTGAAGGATCCCTTTGAAAGTCTATTAAAGCTTTGGACCTTTTCACACATCATTTTAGCCTTAATATCATAGAGCCCATGGATTTTTCAGAACCGTCATACCTACCACAAGAGGAGGGCAGCACGAAGTAGGGCTAGATGGATTCTTGCAAAACTTTCGTTCTGTGACCTCAAGGTTCTAAGCCAAGAAGAAAACTGTAAAATTCTCAAACGCACACTGGTGTTTGGGTGAGAATAGCGAGAAGGCAGGGGTTGTGTGTATAGAAGGAGAGGGGTAAGAGGCTGGGCAGAAAGGGTCCTACAAGGTAGAAGCAGGAGATCCCCTTCCTCTGACGTACTCTGTTCCTCATTCCATCTGCTTCCCATCTCCCTCACCCCTGTGCCTTGTACATTGTACATATGCACATCTCTTAAGCTTCATCTTAATGCGGCACCATTAGAACTTGAGATTTCAGTTCACTCTTTCTTCTCCAATCTTAACCGACTCTGGCAGGTGAAAGTGAGACAAGGTTTCCAAAGGTTGAGAACCATCATGAAAAGCGCTGAGGAAATTAGCTGTGACTTTGGGTGAGTACCCAGCCCCCCTGAGGTTATTCCCTCATCTATAGAATGGGAATGATCATCACTGCTCAGCCTGTTTCAAAGACTCTTGTGAGGGGCCAGCCCGGTGGCGCAGTGGTGAAGTTCACGCGTTCTGCTTCTCGGTGGCCCGGGGTTCGCCGGTTTGGATCCCGGCCCGGTGCAGACACGGCACCACTTGGCACACCATGCTGTGGCAGGCGTCCCACATATAAAGTAGAGGAAGATGGGCATGAATGTTAGCTCAGGGCCAGCCTACCTCAGCAAAAAGAGGAGGATTGGCAGCAGTTAGCTCAGGGCTAATCTTCCTCAAAAAAAAAAAAAAAAAGACTCTTGTGCAGATCAAATTAAAAAGTGTGTGTGAAAGTATAAATTCCAAACTGCCATCCAGATATAAGGGATGTCATGTGGTATGCTGCCTTCATTATGTTACTTGAGTAATATAATGGGATGTGAATAATCATTGTACAATTAATGCATCCTGGGGGGGAGGATTTAATGTTTGCGGGGAGAGTTGGTAGATAGGAAGGAAACCGCATTGTAACCTCTCACTATACCGGTGGTCCTCAACCCTAGCTGCACATTAGAATCATCCAGAGAGCTTTTAAAATACCCTAAATGCAATGTTGTATCCTAGATTAGATCCTGAAGCAGAAAAAGGACGTTCATAGAAAAACTAATGAAATCCAAATAGTATCTGTACTTAATGTTAGATCTTAATTTCTTAAGTTTTGATAAATGGACCATGGTTATGTAAGATGTTAACATTAGGAGAAATTGGGTGAGAGGCATACAGGAACTTCTGTACTATCTTCACAACTTTCCTATAATTCTAAAACTGTTCCTCAAAAGAAATTTTTTTGTCCCAAGGAAGATTGGCCCTGAGCTAACATCTGTTGCCAATCTTCCTCTTTTTGCTTGAGGAAGATTTTCCCTGAGTTAACATCTTTGCCAGTCTATTTTGTATGTGAGTTGCCACCACAGCATGGCCACCAACCAGTGGTGTAGGTCTGCTCCTGGGAACCGAACCCTGGCCCCAAAGCAGAATGTGCTGAACTTAACCAAGCAAAAAACAATTTAAAAATAAATATACCTATGTCTAGATGTCACCCTAGACAGGTGAGCCAGAATCCCCAGGGAGGCGTCTGGGCCTCTGTAATCTGGAAGCTTCCCCAGTGGTTCTAAATGTACTGTGAGGGTTGAGAACCACTGTTCTTCACCATGAATGCCTGAGAGACTGGGATCCTGCCTCGTTCTTCACTGCAACCCAGTACCTAGCACAGTGCCTGTGGAGAGAGCTTGCGCAGTGTGCTCTTGCTGAACCAAACTTTGATTTGCAGAAGTCTTTGCTTTGGGTCCTCTGTAAGAACAGAGGGAACATTGAAAACAACCCCCACCCAAGAAAATACCAGGGGAGATTTTCAGACATCTTCTCACCTGGAGTAGTTCCTACTCCCACCCCCCAGTCTCATCATTTTCACTTAATCCTGACCATTATTACCAGATAAATATTCCTTAAAATACCAAAACTGCCCCTCCATTGTTCACAAGTCTTACTTACTTCCCCATTACCTAACAAGTGAGTGAAATACTTCTTAGTTAGGTATGCAAAATTCTGAACGCTCCAATAATACGAGATTTTTAGCCTACTGGACTGCTGTCCCACATGGACCCTGCATTAACCGTAGTTTGCGTGCAGCTCTCTTGAACATGTCTTGAATTCCCCCTTCTCTGTGTCACATACAATAATGCTGCTATCCACACCTATAATACAAAATCCTCTCCATTTCAAGGATCCACTCATGTGTAATTTTTTCAGGTCATTCCAGCAAAAAGTGAGCATTTCTTCTACTGTATCTGCTATTTAAATGGCACTGCACTTACTATTTTCTTCTGTAGTTATTTGTTTTCTGTTTTATCCCCCCGTGAGAGTGCCCTGGTGGGCAAGGACTGTGTGTTATAGGTATTCCAACCCTCACAGTGTTTATCATGATGCCGTCCACACAGTTAAGTACGTAATAATGATTTAATTTACATTTTGCACAAATACAATATTTAAAAAGTAAAAATGGAAAATCAAAATTCAAATACACAAACTACATTTATCACTCCAGAATATCTTTGAAGGAGTCCTAGAATGATAAGAATTGCTAAAATTAACTTAAAAAGCCAACTAAGCCTGAATAAAATTTTGATGCTATTGTTACACTAATAATTGAACAAAGTTTACAAGAAAACTGTATACTTCCCAAAATTGTAAGTGTTCTAACTTAATAATTTTGGGGCTCTTAGGAATTAATCAAAGAAATTTTTGTTCTTAGGGGGGGAAATAAATTATTCAACTCTCCCCCTTCCCATTTTGTCTCTTCCCACCACTATCCTAACCCCAATATACATACACATGCACACACGCACACACACACACTAGTAGGATATTTTCCATGTGGTAGAGCCTGAAAAACACTTGAGTTCTCTCTTTCAGCTATTGTCTATACATCGGGGAAAAATACTGTTAAAATTTTAATGAGTATTGTAGAGATTTTTACCATATTTGAGAAAATCACACATATAGTATATTAAGATGTGTATTTTGTTGGACAACTATGATAGTTGAGCATTTGTTAAAACAAAACGTAACTATGGACGTCATTTTCTGGGTGAAGCTCTTGAGGAATGTTTGGAATTGCTGGTGTCTCTGGTTCTTCTGCTTTGCGTTCTTTAATTTCTGTAAAATCAAATAAAATACAAAAGTAGGTTCAATAAGTGGTATTGGAACAACTGATTATCCATTTGGAGAAAGAAAACTCGACCTCACACCTTGCACAAAAACAAATTTCAGATCAGTTGAAGATTTAAATATTAAAATACCATCAGTGTAGAAGCAATAGAATGTTCTTATAATTTTAGGATTATAAAGGGCTTTCTAAGCAGAACACAGACCAGAAACCATAAGGGAAAAGATTGACAGGTTTGAATAACTGAAAATCATGACAGTTTTGAATAACTAAAAACTAAAATTAAAATTAAAATTTTGCCATGTGGATGACAAAAACCACTATAAACAAAGCTAAACCTCAAACAACTGGAAAAATATTTACAACTTATATGTAGGTAAAGTTTTCATTACTATTATTTAAAGAGATTTTTTCATCAATCAAAAGAGATATCCCAAATTTAAAATGGCACAAGGATTCAAACAGGCAACTCTCAAAAGAAAAAAATTCCAATTCATAATAATTATGAAAAGATGCCTGATAGCGTTAGTCATCCAAAAAGTGGGAATTAAAACAATTGGATTTTTTTAACCTAGCAAAACAGGCAAAGATTTTTAAAACGTGATCATGCACAGTGTTGATGAGGGTGTGGGGACCAGGCACTTGTATAAATTCTTGGTTTGCGTGAATTGCTATGTTTTTGGAGGCTAGTCCGACAGAATGTATCCAAACTTTAAATACTAGTGCCCATTGGCCCCGCAATTCAACTTCTAGTGACTTATTCAAAGGAAATAGTCAGACAAACTTAAGCTTCCAGTGCTTCAGTTTCCTTATCTATAAAATGGGGATAATATACAGGGGCTGGCCCCGTGGCCAAGTGGTTAAGTTCGCGCGCTCCGCTGCAGGCGGCCCAGTGTTTCGTCGGTTCGAATCCTGGGCGCGGACATGGCACTGCTCGTCAGACCACGCTGAGGCAGCGTCCCACATGCCACAACTAGAGAAACCCACAACGAAGAATACACAACTATGTACCGGGGGGCTTTGGGGAGAAAAAGGAAAAATTAAAATCTTAAAAAAAAAAATGGGGATAATATTATTTATCCAACAGCGTTTTTAACATTGAATAAAACAATTCACACAAAATGTTTAATACAGTGTCTGGCACATCGAAAGTGCTAAATAAATGTTACTTCCAACGATGTTCATTGAACATTGTTATAATGGTAAAACTTGACAGTAACCTAAGTGTTCATCAGTACAGGGATTGGTTGAATAAATCGTTGTACATATAACACAATACTAAAGGATTGTTACAAAAGATGTCATTAGGATGGCCCTGATATATAGAGAGTGTGGGGAAAAAAGCAGGTTACAGAATAGAATGTATTGTACTAGCTCATTTGTTAACACAAAACAGAACCTTAACATTGGAGATTGGAGATAGGAGATGGGATTATAGGAGACTTTACTTTATATTTACTTATATATTGCTTTAATTTCTCATAAAGAACATTTATAACTTATTGTTATGAAAATGTTATCATCAGCAAAAAGGGGGATATTTCCATTTGTTTGGTAAGACAAAAACAAAAACAAAACACGCATGAATTAATTGCCTATATTAACCTTGCTGGGTTTAGAACGACCCTGTTCTGAGGTCGCGTGTTGATTAGAGCTGCTTCTCCAGCAGGGGGCTCCTGTCAGTACAAGTAGTCTTCATCTGTCTGCTTTTTACTGTACTTTCTTTTTTTTTAAGTATTTCCTCAAAACCTGTATTACTTGGAACCCAATTAACCCCATGTTCTTGTTGCACTCGTCTTTTAGGAGAAAGAGCAAATAAGCTACCGAAGGGATTTCTTTAGAAAACAGTTCCCTGGGGATAACAGACTCGTCCCCTTTGCTGTGCTGTCTGCAGTGTTGTACAAAGAGAACCGGGGTTCTCAGTTATGTCCCTAAGGCAAGTCAAACTGAAGAAAGGTCACATTATTTTCAAAATGCTGCTTAGCAGCTTAGGAGAAAGGTTTTCAGGAACAAATATTGAAATAGAAGAGTTTTTGATAAACCTGATAAATCCTACAAGAATGAGTTCCCTAATAACAAGATCACATTTCACACCTTTGTGTCTCCTTTGGTACCTTGGACCATGAATTTAATTTTTGAGAAAAACTTTATGTAAACTTAATTGTCCTTTAAAATATTTTGCATATAATTCATCCTCTATTGAGTTCATTTCTCCTCACTGGCTAAAGCTTCCCAAAATAAATAGTACGTACAAGTACCCACTGTACACACTTATGTTTTCAATTATGTTCTTTTAATTTTTTGGAAATGTGCCAAACAGACATTGGTTGAATGAAAGATATTTTTTACTTGAAACTACCCAATAATATCAATGATACCCCTTGAGATGACTGGGGATAACCTAGGATTGTCAAAGAAAGCTATAAAATCACCGCTTTGAGGAAGATGTACTTATTCGGTGCTCCAGTTATAAATGGGGAACACCATTAAGTGGCAGTGTCACTGACTTGTCCCCAGTTAACAACCCCTACCTTGAGGAAAAGTGGAAACATCCTTAGCATCTTCCTGGTGTGCTTTAGGATCCTGGCTTTGGGGCCCACCTGTTTCTTGGTATCGTTCTGGAAAGTGTTCTTTAGACAGATCCTTATTTCTATATGTCTTAGTAGAGAGGTCTTCAGGCCCAGGTGTTTCTTGGTATTTTTCAGGTGAGCAGTCTTCAGGCCCAGGTGTTTCTCGGTATATTTCAGGTGAATAGTCTTCACACCCAGGGGTTTCTTGGTATTTTTCAGGTGAACAATCTTCAGGCCCAGGTGTTTCTTGGTGTATTTCAGGTGAATAGTCTTCACACCCAGGGGTTTCTTGGTATATTTCAGGTGAGTATTCTTCTTGCCCGGGTGTTTCTTGGTACATTTCAGGTGGATATTCTTCAGGAGCTGGTGTTTCTTGGATTGTTTTATGATAGGGGGCATTAGGGACAGTGATTTCTTTATATGTTTTAGGGGAAAATTGTTCGGGTTCAGCTGTTTCTTGGGATGTTTTTGTAGAAAGGTCTTTAGGCACCGCTATTTCTTGTGTTTTTGGAAGGAAGCTTTCAGTCTCCGCTACTCCTTCACCTGGTGCAGAATCGTATTCCTCGAGTTCAGCTCTTTTTTGGTATGCTTCAAGAGCATAGCCTTTAGGAACATCTGGTTTGGGGTATGCTTCAAGAGAGCATCCTTCCAGGTCAGCTACGTCGTCAGATGTTTTAGAAGGAAGGGCTTTGGCTACAGCTGTTTCTTGGCACATTTTGGGAGAGAGGTCTTCAGGCTCGGTCGTATCATGGTGGCTTTTGGAAGGATGGTCTTGAAGCACAGCTGTTTCTGGGCACCTTTTAGGAGAGAGGTCTTCGGGTCCAGCCCTGTCTTGGCATATGTCAGAAGGGTGGTTTTGTACCACTGTTTCTTGGTACTCAGAAGAGCTTTCCTGATGTATAATGCTTTCTTGATCTATTGCAGAAAAATGTTTCTCAGGCACAACTCTTTGGGGGGAGGCCCCCGAGGGGAGAGCTTCAGTTACACTCCTAGGTGGTTCACTTTCTTTCTCCGTAAGTGCCAGAGCTTTCTCCATAATTTCCTTTTCTAAATGTGACCCAGGCTCCGCCTTCAGTTCTGTCTTTTGTTGTCTCTTTCGGCCTCTTTGATTTCCTCTTCCTGTTCTCTGCCGCTTGTGTTTTTTCTCTCTATGGAGAAATCAAAATTAGTGTCAGCAACAAGACTACAGAATTCAAATAAATGCTTGATAATAACAGTCCCCGGTCTCCCACTGCCTCGTTACACAACCTTGAACAAGTCACTTAATCTCTCCGGGCCACACTCTCCTTGTTTGTAAGATGAAGGAGTGGTGGCCCTCGGGGACTTTTGTCTCTGACGCCTTGCTCACCAGGAACCTTCGTGGTGAGTGTAGTGTGTATGAGTTTGAGAGCATATGCTTTGAGTTTGGTAATGGAAAACATATAACTGATGTTATAAATGAATAGATTGGCATTCTGGTTTATACACTAGGCTCTTTGGGTCAGTCTGTGTGAGTTAGTCCCACTGTGCCCTGGGTAAACTGATACAATTGCGTTTCTAGATCTGTGATCCAGGCACGGTTCCTTGTCTGGGCAGCCTGCAGGCAGATGATGTATATGGCTTGCTTATCTCATACAGTGTCTTGTGTAAAGGATGCTAAGTAGCTACAATACACGGCAAATGAGATATACTTTAAGCTGGGTCAAAAGTTGCAAAAACATTTCTTGAAGTTGTGGTAGGCAGGAATGAGTGGCTGTATTATACCTACTCCAGATTAATAGTTAGATTACAGATCTAAAAGATGAAAGGATATACATGGAAATTGCAGCCAAAGACAAATTGTTAGGTACTGCAAATATAACCAAATACAGACGGCTAATACAGATGGGCCGAGGGGGTACTATAAATAAGTGTTTCATCATTTCTCTCAACCTATTGAAATTCTGTTCCATGCTACCTGCTCCTGGAGCCGTCTCTTACCACAGGGCTGAAATGTGCTCCCTGCTTGGTGCTCATGGCATGATCAGAGGCTGCCTCATACTGTAGTTATTTCTGGAGAAACCTTATTTCTTTCAGTACACTAAATATTCTTTAGAGAGAAAACCAGTGTCTCTTATATTTTTGCAGTGCTCATAGCTCCTTGCACACTTAAAAAATATGTGCCCTATTCTACTTTTGTGTATGTTCGAAAATTCCCAGAATTAAAAATTTATAAAAGATTGCCTTACCAAAACCAGTTTGAAGTCAATATAAAAAAGGTGTATATGTCACAGGACAGTCAAAAATAAATATGCAAAGTAATAGAGAAGAAAAGGTAATCTAAAAATGATGGTATGGCACCTCAGCATTTTGAAGTTTAACTCCAGGTAACCAAGGTAACAGATAAATGATAAAGTCCTATTGTCAGATTAAAAAAATATATGTCTGAATTCTTCAGGAAACACGTCTTTTCTTAGATGTTAAATCCTAAATGATTTGTTATGTAGATCTCTATGTGAGGGAATCTGAGTAATATAATGTTCCATGTTCTTCCCAGAAGTTTTTCAAAAGACATAAAAATATCTCTGTGGACTACAATTTAATCTGTACTCCGTCCCTTATCAGCTATGTGATCATGGGCAAGTCACTTAACCTCTCTGTGCCTTGGTTTCTTCACAGGCAAAATGGAGTAAATAGTATCTGCCCAACCTCGTATGGTTGTTGTAAGAATCGCAGAGGATAACTTACATGAATGAATTATCCAAATATAAATCAGTGCTTTTGTACTAATAAAGGAAACAGTTACAGTGCTTCCTATGTGCCAGGCACTGTTTTAAGTAATTTACTTATTCTGTTCTCTCACATAATCTTCACATCAACTTATGAGGTAGATACTATTATTATCTCCATTTTGCAGATGACAAAACTGAGGCTCCGGGAGGCTGAGTAACTCGTCCAGGCTCAAGTGGCTAGGCAGCAGGGAGCCAGGCTTCTCATCTAGTCCTTGCAGCTTTAACAGCCAGGCTCTCCCCCAGTCCACTCTGCCGCTTCTCTCCGGAACTACGAAGGTTTCACTGGGTGGGATGTTGTAGTGAGAACGCCCTCAGCAGCATAGAAGAAATGCGTCACCAGGGCAAGGCCAGCCGGCTGTCAAGAGGCTCATCAAGGTGTCATCTACTTCAGAGACCTCCTCAGCCTTGGCCACCCAGCCCGGCAAGCACCGAAACCCAGTTCTGTCTGCACACTGAGACTAGCTCCATTTATCGAGCGCAGAGCTCATCAACCAGCTCAAAGAGACTGATACGCAAACCTAAAGACCAGTTTCTAAATGAAGAGTGAGAAACGCAAAGTCACAGAGCAAGAGTGTGCACTTCCTCTGTAGCAGGCACTTGGGAAGCCCAGCGCTGGTCAGGAAGCTGCCTGGCCTGTGTGGAATACGGGAGCTAATGGGATACTCTGCAACAGAGCCACCTGCCACAGGACCCGAGCACAGAAGTTTCGGCTATAATAGAGTATACACATTTTGGAAAAACCTCACTTTCTGCAAACTCATGCACTAAAACAATAAACGGTGCTTATGAGGCAAAAATAGAGTTGGGGCAAACGACTCAAAACCTATGCAACTTTCTAACTCGAACAAAACAATACTTAGTCTCTGGGGAGATCACTTGGATAGTCCAGACAAGCAGCTGACTGTGGCTGGAGGCTGCCTCAGGGGACAGGAAAAGTGCACAAAAGCAACAGTGTAGTAAATGCAGGCTTGCAGCCACTGAGATCATGCAAATAGGGTGGTGTTCTGAGCCTGCAGGGCTGCCATTAAATTGGGCGCAGGAGGAAGTGCAACTTGCCACCTGGGGAGAGCTGTGCGAGGCTGGTGGTGTCCTTCTCTGGGGAACAGCCCTGGATGCAGGCTGAAAAGGATCCTGCCTATACAGCAGCCAAGCTGAGGGCGTTTTCCTTTCCCACTAAAGGTTCTGATTCTATTCCCACTGTTCTGGCTCCTTTGACTAGGAAAAATCAAATCAACACAACTTCCACATTATGCTGACATCATTCTCCTATTCACCAATCATATGAGAGCTAATTGACACTTCTCAGTCCGTAGCGAGGATAGATGCCCTTGCTTAAGAAGAGTGCTTAGATCACTGGTTCTCAACTGAGGGCGATTACCTCCCTCCCCCCGCCCCAGGAGACAGTTGACAATGTCTGGAGACATTTTTGGTTGTCACACCTGGGGTGGGGGGGTGCTATTTGTTTCTAGAGCCCAGAGATGCTGCTGAATATCCTGAATGCATAGGACAGCCTCCCACACAAAGAATTATCCTGCCCACAGCATCAACGGTGCCCTGGCTTAGATGGATCCTGCACTTTTGGCTCCTTGGGCTCCCCTTTTCTTTCTTCAAGCAAGCGATGCCTCTGCTGTCCTATTCTAACTGGAGGTAGTGAGACGCTGCCTGACTTACACTCATGTTCCTGTGCTCCCTCCCTGAGAGGGCGTACAGGTGACGACTGGAGATGTAGGAACTCCCAGACTCTTCCCTTGCTCATTTACAGACAATGTTTTGGTTTAGTCCATGGAGAGTTCATCATACTCATTCGATAGGGATTTTACTAATAGAAAGCTTGGAGAACCAGCTCGGAGGTTTCCTCAGTGGTGTCTCCCACTCCTGACAACAGGATGTTCCATGCTTATATTACCAGAGTGGCTGAACACCAGCCTCTCTACAAGATAATTTGATTACCTGGTGCTTTAAATGAAAGAGACCAGGGATAAAATTCCGTTCCCACCACTTTACTCTCTGTGACTTTAGGCAAGAGATTTAACCCATCAGACACTTGGTGTCCTTTTATTGTAAAATAAGTATAACAGCTCCTGATTTACGGGATTGTTGGAAAGAAAAAATACAGTGCGTAAAAATGCTCAGCACTACTTGACACATAGCCTATACTCAATAAATATCAGTTCCTTTTCCCTTGCAAGGATTCCATACCCAAACTGCCATTGTGAAGACTGCTTTTCTTGCGCTTCGGCTTTTCTTTTTCTGAGTTGCTCTCTGTTTCGCAAACTCCAAGTTCCAATGACTTCTGTAAGATCAAAATGCAAGTTATAGCAGATAGTGATGAATCGTGGCATTTATCAGCAAGAGTCCTATAGCGAAGTGGTAGAATCTTTATGCTGGGTGTCTAAGTTTTTCTCCTAGCTTTTTGAGGACAAGGACTATATCTTATTTATCCTTGTACCTTCAGAGAATACCTGGGATAAATCATTCGGTAAATATTTTAAATGAAAAGGTCAGTATTTGTACATTGTGTGCTACCAACCTATTAATTTCTTCAAAATAATTTTTACATATTGTACAAACATAAAATAAAAGAAGAAATCAGCCATCTTCTGCCATCCTTAATGTTAGAACCTGTTTTCATTTTACTCCTCGTACTCATCCAGTCCCTATATTACACCAAGTTTTAATCATAGCATACCACAATTTGATCATTTATTGACCTAACATTATATCGGAAATATTTTCCATGACATAGTCCTCATAATTATAACCTTAACGACTACATGATACTTAATCAAGTTGATGTATTCTCATTTACCCAGTCATTCTACCTATTGAACATTGAGGTTCTTGCCAGTGATTTTTTGTCATTGTAGATCAAACTATAAAAAGCATATTCATGGGGCTGGCCCCGTGGCCGAGTGGTTAAGTTCGCGCGCTCCACTGCAGGCGGCCCAGTGTTTCGTTAGTTCGAATCCTGGGCGCGGACACGGCACTGCTCATCAGACCACGCTGAGGCAGCGTCCCACATGCCACAACTAGAAGAACCCACAACGAAGAATACACAACTATGTACTGGGGGGGCTTTGGGGAGGAAAAGGAAAAAATAAAATCTTTAAAAAAAAAAAAAAAGCATATTCATGCATACAGCTTTTTTTTTCTGTTGGATCTTTTCCTTAAGATAGTGTTTCTCCAAGTTCTTTGGAATATTAAAAGTATTACCAGAAAAGGTTTTGTTGCCATCCAAGTTTGTGAAAAGTTAAGGGCTCTTTGATGCAGACAGAACTTCTTAGAGCCTGTGGTGCGATTGCAGATTTGCACTGGGACCCCCAAAACATAGAGCATGCCCCTTGGACCACAGCACCTTTGTTCTTAGGACAGAGGTTCTTTTTTAATTTTGAGGAAGATTAGCCCCGAGCTAACGTCTGCTGCCAATCCTCCTCTTTTTGCTGAGGAAGACTGGCCCTGAGCTAAAATCCGTGCCCATTTTCCTGTATATGTGGGACGCCTACCACAGCATGGTGTGCCAAGTGGTGCCATGTCCACACCCGAGATCTGAACCGGCGAACCCTGGGCTGCTGAAGTGGAATGTGCACACTTAACCGCTGCACCACCGGGCCAGCCCCAGGACAGAGGTTCTTAATGGTGAAATTGCATGGGGGAAATTATAGCTTTATTTTTACCAATCTCTAATTAAAATTAGCATTTCCTTCAGTTATGAAGGTAGGTAGCAAACCACAGTCATTTTAGCAGTATCTGACTGTCACCAAAAGAAAGCACAGATTTTTTTCATATCACAAACAGTTGTCACAGACACCTTAAAATATCATTTACTTGAGATGATATATTTGATTTGATACAATGGTTATTAGACCCACCACTGGATCTTGTTATTTAATGCATCTGTAAATGAGCCCATATATTACTATATCACAATTTTTCATTTTGGTAACTGTATCAATATAATTGTTTCCTTTGTAATCTTATCTATTTAATTTTGTGTATTTAAAATATTTATTCGAATAAGGAGTCTATAGGTCATCAGAATGCCAAAGGGATCCACGGCACAAAAAGTTTAAAAACACTGCCTGAAGGCCTAGGGTTCCACAAAACATTTTGAGAAAGGCTGCTTCAGGATTAAGTCAAAGACTAAGATTAATGAGTCAAAAGAACAAGCACTGTTATGGTTCTTACTGCCTGTTGCCAGGTCTCCTTCCAAAAACTATACCAAGTGCACACCACCGTAGAAGTACATGGGTGTACTTGTTTTATGACAATAGTCCAGTATTGACATTTTCATGATCCTTCATTTAAATGTATTATTAACAATTTATTATTTCCTTCTGTTTCTCTAGCTTTTAGCATCTAAATGCTCTAGAAGTCACTCAGGACTTATACAGCCCTGATTCTTCCCATCTAAGGTTATATGAACGTACTCAATTATGTGCTTTCTTTTGGCCAGAGTCATAAAAAAGAGGACAATAAGCATAGCCCCAATTCTTCCCAAGTCACTAAGACCTCTTAGTGGCCACTAGGGACTCTTAACGTCTCCATTACCTGGAACACGGCTCTCTTCTTGATGAGAATCAGGTGTCTGATGGAGCATCAAGCGAGACTGGTCCTTTCTCACATCCATCTTGCTGCAAAACCTTCCTGCTATTTGGTCTGACTTCCACAAGCAGCCTTTTAAAAAATATCAAAAGCAACTAACAGTTAAACATGCACACACACACACATTCACTTGTCACTTAACTTCCCGCCTAAAACTTTTATCTGGTTGGACCACAGCGGCGGGCTACTTCTACTTTCTTTATCATACCGCACAGGTGTGAGTAGGGGCATGGCTGGTGCTGCGTCCTCATCCTCCAGCATAGTGGCTAGTTATCCAGGACGCCCCGCGGCCACAGCCTGGTATGGCACAGCCTCCAGTACCGCAGTCATTTGGTTCTGTCTGCTCAGAAGTGCCTGAGTCTCATGTTCCTGTTTACATACAGAGGTGGCATGGGACAGAAAGGTCTAGGACCTAGTCAGCTCCTAGAACAAGTCAACCTCCCCTCTCTGTGATGTTTTCCTCATTTGCAAAGTGGGTAAATTATTCCTGTCTCTCCCACTTCACACAGTTCTTGTGAGAGTGAAAATAACGAATGTGAAATTTATGAAGATGTAAAATTAATCTTATGTTGTTTCCCTGCATATAGCATTTTTTCACCTTAATCTGTTGCAAATAATGTAAAGTCTTGCCGTGTATGCTTTTAGACTTAGATAATAGATGCAAAGAACCAAATTAGGAATTCAAAGCAAATTTGAACCCTTTTCTGCTCACCCGATCATTCACAAGTGACTCAAGATAACTAGTGAAATGCACTGTTACTAATCCAGGGAAGGGCAAAAAGCATTTCTTAATGAACATGTCACCACGTTATGTCACAGAAATTCACTTGAAACCAAAGGAATCATGCCATCTCTGAGCAGTCACCCCATTTGTGAAGGCAAGTGGCACAGAGCACCATGGTTGTTCAACTAAGGAAGGAAAACTGACGCCTCTAACACAGGCAGATAGTCTGGGAGACACAGGGCTGACAACGTGTTCTGGAGTCATAGATTGAATTGAATAGAGTTTGAATTCCAGTGTCGCCACATTCCCTGACTCAGTGACCTTAGGCAAGTTAGAGAGCCTTGGAGCCAGGTTACCCATGCAGTATGGGGACAATATCATGTCCCCTGGTGGGGTTATTGTGATGATTAAATCAAATAATCCATTAAGGCATTTAATATGTTCCTGGCGTATTGAACTTGCTTAATAAGGATTTGCTGCTTTTATTAGTAATAAAAATATAGTAACCAGATTTTGGTAAACCAAGCCATAGTTTAAATGCACTAAAGAAACTCAGAGAAAATCTGAAAGGAATCTTTTATAAAGAGAAAACCTTTATAATGTGTATGGGCGCCCCCTACTTCCACAGACTCGTAAGGCATTGGAAGTGGAAGGGCCTCCAAGACTATCTACTCCTTCCCCCTATTTTATACACAGAGAAACTGAGACCCAAGACAGGAAAGGATTCACCGGCCCCAGATTTCCTTACTGATTGCCAGCAGCACCTCTTACTGATTAGAAGATGGGTCATCCTTTTACGCTTGAGCTTGCCTGGGTATGAAAATGTATGTGTGGTGCGAATGTATGAGAGAAGGAAGTTTCAAACACGCTGAAAAGTATTGAGAATTACATAACAGACACTCAAGTACCCACCACCAAAACTTAACGTGGTTTTAAATTACCAGATCCTGATGCTTTAGCTTTAGGTTTCTCAGTTCCCCAGTCTTTCTCATAAGTAAGTCTCTGTCTAAAATTCGGATAAGTTCAGGGAGTCCCTATACAAAGGAGTCCCGTAGGGAACGGAAGGCATCCTTTGTAATTTACCTCTTGATAATTTTTGGATTTTCAGATATAGGGTTTTAAAAAATCAAAGACAAATTAAAGTAACTTTGATAATTATAAAATAGTAGTGTTTTATAATTTAAACTGGCATTTTAAATATTAGCCCCTTTATTTGAAATGTTTTAATTCTTACTAGTTAGGTTGTTTCTTATAATAGCTCAGTGAAGTAACCTTATGGAATACCTCTGGGGCGCCTTATGGAAGATGCAGAAGGACTTCTGCAATAGGATTATCCTGACTCAGAGCTTATAACACCCAGTTCAACGACTCAGTAACCCTTACTGCGTGCCTACTCTGCGTGTACTGAGCCAGGCTGTCAGACCACAGAGATGGACAGATGTGGTTCCTGAGTTCTGGGTACTGCAGGCTCGTTGAGAGGGAGATACACATCTTTATTGTAAGGAAATATTTAGATTCTTTATACCCCGTTGCAACCTTCCTAAATTGATCCCACCCCTGCCTCATGTTCCCCGTATCTGGGAGATTGTGGAGGGACTATTAAGAGGGTGAGGTCTCAAGTTAACAGTTAATTAGGGGGCAATATTGGGTGGAGCGGGCCAGTGGCGGGACTGTGGAGCAACCTAGATTGGAAGTCAGGCAAGGTGTCTCTGCTGTGATAAGCAGAACTTGTCTGGGACAGAAATAGTAGGCATGGAGTAAGTTCACAAGCCAGAGTTCATCGTCCCTTCTCTCTGTAGAAACTCTAGAGTCATTAGCAGAATGTGAGACGTTCGGCATTAAAGGGTGGGTATTTTTAACAAATGCTGCCTTGTTCTGGAGGTATTCGCATATATACATGAAACCTCCCTCTAGGCCACAAACTCTTAGAGGGTGGTTACCACTCCTGAGTCGCCTTTCTGTCTCCACAGCATAATCTGGAGGAGGCTTGGCCCACAGCGGTTTCCCCAGAAATGCCCTCACTCCTGTACGCAGGGCGGGCTTCACGGGCACGCAGCCTATGAAAGCACCATATTCGCTGAGAGCAGCTGATGCGGCTGCGACTTCATAATAGTAATACCATCCTCTGTTCCAGAACTCTGTCTACTGTCTTTCACCAGCACTGCCCTACATGCTGGAGATACAGCAGGTAAAAGACAAAAGTCCCTGCCCTTATGGACCCTATATTCTAATGGGGAAAGAGAAAGAAACGATAAACAAATAAATAAAATATGGGATGTGTCAGATGGTGACTCGTGCTTTGGAGGAAGTTGAGCAGGGAGTGATGGAGTGGGGAATGAGGGGAAGCTGATGGCGGTCGCTGTTCTGCATGGGGCGGTCAGGGAAGGAGGAAGCTGAGCAGAACTGCAGGAGGTGAGGGGCAGCAGGCTGATGTCTGGGAGGGCATTTCAGGCAGAGGGGTTCTGCCAGTGGCCTGAGGAGAGGACGTCGCAGGAGGTGCTTCAGAGAGGTAGCCTGTCGCCCCCTGTAGGGATTTCTACTCTGGCGGAGATGGATAGTCACGGGATGGCTTTGACCAGAGGAGTGACATGGTCTGGCTTATATTTTTAAAGCATTATTCTGACTACTGTGTGGAGAATAGACCACTGGGGCCAGGGTAGAAGCAGGGAGACCCACCGTAATCCAGGTGAGAGATAAGGAAGGCCTGGACTGTGGTGGCAGCAGTGAAGAAGTCAGGTCCTAGAGTACTTTACACACTGGATCTGGAGAGATAAAGAGCCAAAGACTATGACAAGGTTGTGGGCTGAGCACCTGGAGGGATGGAGTTACCATTACAGGTGAGGAGGCCTGGGAGGAGCAGGCTTGCTGGAGATGATCCGGAGTTTAGTTTTGGACATATGAATACATTATGGAGAAAAGAGCAAAGCAGCAGCCAGTGAGGCAGAAGAAAACCAGCAAAGTGTCGTGTCCTGGAAGCCAAATGGAAAATTGTTTCCAGGTGGAGGGAGTGATCAACAGTGTCAAATTTTGCTAACAGGTAAAGTAGAGAAAAGATTGGGAATTTTCCTAACAATTCAATCCGATTAATTAACTTAATTCAATTAATTATGGACCGTGGAGCCCAGAGAGTTTCAGTGACTTGGCCAAGGGCACACAGGCAAGACCAGCTACATAATTTGCAGGGCCCAGTGGAAAATCAAGATGCAGAGCTCCTCCTTCAAAAGTTATTCAGAATTTCAAGACAGCTGGAGCAGCAAATTAAACCTAGCACAGGGTCCTACTTTCACAAGTGTTTCCCTTGATCCTCACGGCAAGTTTATGAAATAGCTATTATCATCCCCTTTTTTCAGATCAATACACTGGTGCTCAGAGTATAGGGTGATTTAACTAAGGTCACGGAGCCAGACTGGTAGTTTGAGCCAGGAACCCGAGCCTTCGCTCTCCAAGTCTGGCCTTCTTCCTACTAGACCAAACTAGATGCTGGGGGAGGGAATTGCTTTGCTTCCTCCTGACCCATCTGGGGCAGGCTTCAGTATTGAGGCCTTGCTCGTGCGTTTCCGAGGCCTGCTTGAACCGGCAGATGTGGGAGGGAAGGAAACACACTGCCCCACACTTCTGCCCTAGGGCTCTCCTCACAATGGGGTCCAGAAGGGAGCGCTGGACACTGTTCAGTCAAAAACATGATCGGATAAAAGTGCCCCCAAGCTAAGGTAGTTTCAGGCTACACTGATATAATTATAGAGCCCCGAAACCAGGGAGAACGGAAGCCTGCTTCACTTTGGTTTGCCACGCCATGGCTAGTGTTATGCTACTGTGAAGACTGTGTGACTGGTATTTGAAAACATGTACTAAAAAAGCAAAGCATATGGGGCTCTGCTATTTCCTGACTGTGCAATTTGGGGAAAATTGCTCAATTCTTTCTGATCCTCAGTTTCTTCCCTTGTAAAGGCGGAAAAAGTAATAGCTCACAGGGGTTCCGTGAGGATAAAAGAGATCATGAGTGTTTCTTATAAAGTGAAACGCACTGTGCAAAGTGCCATAAACTTGGGTGGTGTTGATAGTGTCATTACAGCATTCTAACAATGCACCTGTGCATTTTCCTAGAGTCCATTTTGGTGGAAAAGTCAAGAAAGGAAAGATAGCGTGTGTTTATTTTTCTTAGCATTCCTTCTTGCTAAAATACTTTTTCAACGCTTTTAAGTTCTTTTCAAAGAGTGGATCAAGCTTCGTTTTCTTAAGTGCAGAAGGAGAGTTTCTGGTTTCCCTCTCTCACAGTCTGTTGATGCATGATAAATGAGTTCTGTCTCTGCTAAAACAGATGCTACTCTGCACATCCAGATAACACGGTCTATGACTTCGGAGTGGCTGTAACCTGACTTTCAGTCTAGTTTGGTCCAAAGTCCCTCCTCTGGCCTCCTCCACCAATATTGCTTTCTATTTCTTCATGTGTAGACAAATAAGCATCTCTGGGGAAATGTTGGTGAGTGGTCATTTATCTGGGGAAGAACAATTCTTCTCCCATTTTGACCCACCATCACATCTCTGTCCTTTCATTGCTGAACTTCCTGAATTAACAATGTACCCTGTCTACATCTGTTTTTCCACACCACTTCTTCATTCCTTCGCATCTGCAATCTAGTTTTCTCTTCCACATATTGTTCTCTCGGAAGCCATCAATGATTTCCTAATGGCCACGTCCAGTGGTCCATTCTCAGCTCCCTCTCTCTGACCTCGCTGTAGCTCATGCCTCCTCTGAGCACTCTATCGCTCTGTTCTTGGCCTCTGTGGTGGTGCGTTCTTCACCTCTCCCCACTCATCATCCTCCTTCACAGGCTTCTCTCTCACTCCTCTAGATGTAGGAGGTATTTCCTGAGGATGACTCCTGGATCCTACTCTCTTTATAGTCTCACCCCCTTAGACAGTCCATCCCACTGTATACCTTTAGCTATTACCTCTATGCGGATATCTTCTAAACAGATATCTGTCTGAGTTCTAAGATTGTGTTTTCAAGTGTCTCTTGGATATCATTCATTACCTGAATATCCCACTGCACCTCAAACTTAGCATAGCAAAAAGCAGATATATCTTCCACCTAAAGCCAGTTTCCTCTGTGCTTTTTTCTGCTAGAACAGTAGCACCATGCTCCAGCTCCACACCTTCAGGATTGTCTTTGACTCCACCTCCTCACTTTGCTTCTCACGTCCTGTTGGACATAGTTCTATCTACTCGTTCTTCCCAGTGTCCCACATAGTCGCTCCCTCTTTTCCTTTCCTGTTCTGCCATCCCAGAAAGGGACCTCAACTTCCCATTGGAAGTATCAAAAAAGCTTCCTAAGTGGTCTATCTGCTTCCATCTCCTCTCGCTCTCCCCGACCGTCCTGCACAAACAGCCAGAACATTCCCCCTAGAGCTGGCTCTCAACTGGTCACTACCCTGTTTAGAATCCTGTAAAGTTTCAGTATCATTTGCTGAATAAAGATGAAATTTCTCAGCCTGGCATTTAAAGCCAACTTTCCAATCTTCTTTCCCATTTCCTTTCTTGAAAATACACAATATTCCAATTAAATAGGGCCACTTGCCCTCCCTGTTTGGCCTCAACTCTTTGTAACACCCACAGTACCTTTATTTATGCCTCCTGGCTGTTCAGTACTCTTCCCTTTGTCTGCGCATCCAGATAGTGAGTGTCTCAAAGCCTTTGATGATGACGATGATGATGATGATGATGATGATGATGATGATGATGAGATGTTAGCCACTCTACAAACACATAATAGGCACCTGACAGTTTATATATATTATCTCATTTAGTTCTTCCAACTAATATTATCCCAATTCACTGATAAGGAAATTATGGTCTAAAGAGGTTAGGTTACATTCCAAGGTCACATAAGCTCCTAAGAGTCAGAGTCAGGGCTCAAAACCAAGGCTGTCTGATTCTAAAGTTCACAGACTTAACCATTCTGTTCTTCTGCCTTTTCCTACCTGGAAGTGATCTCTCCTTTCTGAGCTATAATCGCATGTGACTTGAGCTTCTTGTATGGTAAATATCACATCGTATTTTTTATTTTATTGTTCACATGTACACATCTTTTCTACAATGTTCATTCAGCAAGCACTTATTGAGCATTTCTTTCTTTCCAGCCCCTTTACTAAGAATTGGAGACATAGAAGTCAAACAAGAGTCCTTTCCTTCAAGGAACTCCATCTAATTGAGGTTGGTAGATAAGTAAATCTGAATTTAGAATATAATACAGTGTGATAACGTTGATATCAGTATTTCCAAATGTCCTGAGAGTAGAGGTAAAGTTCTTAATTCTGCTGCCATAGAAGTGGAAAAATAAGGATATCATATTGTACACTCTCTGGCTATAATTCTCTTTATTCATAACTGCCTTGGAATGACTCTGGCATTGGTCAACGAGTAGAGCTGGGAAAATGAGGCTCTATATGTATGGAAGAGTGTTATGGATTTTTTTCACTTTATAATAATGTTAAGTTTTTTCCCTTATTTAACAGAAATAATAATGCCAATACTTATTGAGCACCGTTTACCACATCCCCGAAGCTGTTCTGAGCACTTTATATATAATAACTCACTTAGTCTTTACAACAATCTTTAAGGTAGGTACTGTTCATATTCCTATTTTTTAGATGAAGAAACTAAAGCCCAGGCATTGAAACTCTGCCCTAAGTGGCACACCTAGTAAATGGCAAAGCTGGGTGGTTTGGATCTAGAAGGTCATATGCTTAACCACTTTGCCATCCTACCTCTCAATTCCACCTCTTTCATATTTAATAAAATAAGCCAGCAATATATTTTCTTTTCCAATCCCCTCTGTCTCCTTTCTTCCCTTTTCCCCTCTCCCTCGTGCTCTCCCTCTTTCTGCAGTTTGTTGACTATCTGCCCTGTGCCCAAAACTATGCAGGGTGCTGAGGATACAAAGGCAAATATAAAAAACAGCATACATGGAAAATTAAGAGGACACAGAGGAGGGACATCTCACCAGAATGGAGAGATGAAGTCCAAGAAGTCTTCTGGGAATAGAAGATGTTGAACTTAGTTTTGAAGGGTGAATAGGAATTAACTACTTATGACACAGCCAGGCTAAAAGGAACAAAGGCAGGTTCTGGAGTCAGAGCTAAGTTCACTCAAACTTGGGCAAGTTATTCAAAATCTCCCAGTCTCGATTCCCTCATATATCAAATGGGCATTGTAACACCTACCTTTCATGACTATTTTGAGAATTAAGAATGATAACTATGGAAAGCATTCAGCAGACAGCAGACTTTAAACTACTGCCTGTTGTTAGGATTGTTCATAATCTCAATAATAACAAGTAAAATAGAACCACCAAATAATAAAGCTAAGCCAGGCATTAGAGTCATTTTATGGATAAGGAAATGGGGAGAGAAGCCAATGTCACACAGGCTTAGTGGCAGTTGGAACTAGAATCCAGAGCCTCTGAGAGTTCTACCATTGTCCCTTCAGCTGTCAGGTATCCCAGACTCCTCTGTCTACAAGTCAATCTACCTCATCCCTTGGCTTAATGAATTATTTCCCAAACTTTCCAGCTACTTACATTCCATCTTTGTGATTTTTGTCATAGTCTTGTAATAACATCTTCCATATTATTTAATATTTTTCTTCAAATCAACTTATTTTTACTAAAAGTATTTAAAATGGGAATTTTATATAATCATTGGAAATGGAAAACCAACCATATCACCCATGAAATCACAGGTTTGTGCTATAACAAATTGTATTTCTTCTAAGGCACATTAAAATAAATACTGAACTATTAAAATAAAAGATGTTTCTCCTAAAATTATCTGCACTGCCCTGAGTGGAATGCATACCACGTCTTGGGAAAGGCCAGCCTATGTCATTAATCAGTAAGTTCTTTTCATTTCACGGAACTTCTAGATCATGTCCAAATCTACGCTAAAACGAAACTGCCCTTTGCAGTGACTGGTTTATAATTCATAAGGGACAGAGCCAAAGACCCAAGTCACTCCCTGGCCTGCCACTGACCCATGTTATTCCTGTCAGCTAGTCTCCACGCAGTAGCTGGTTGAACACTAGCCTCTCCTATTTTTGCTATTTCTTTACCCTTTAGAGTTTTAGCTATTCTGGCATAGTCTATGGACTAGAACCTAACGTGACGCTTTAATCCCATTTGTTTGGAAACTTCAACTCCCTGCTTCCGGCAGATTCTATCCTCTGGACTTGGAGTTTTGAGGTAGAATAACCTAGCTCAGTCCCTGCCTGAAAGGGAGCACTGCAGATGAATTGCAGCCTTCCAAACGGCTCAGCCCTCTGTGCTGGCCCGAGGGCCTGGCACAAGGTATACGTGCAGTAAATAGTCCTCACCCGAACCAATCCAGGTAACCGTGACTCTGACCAGAACTGCTACCACTAGGTGGACTAAATGGCGATTGCACCGTCTCACCTGTCGACCAGGGCAGGAGCTTTGGCTCCAGCGCTTTCCCTTGGAGGCAGCCCGCCTTGCTCCCTGATTCTCTGACACTCACTGTTCCCGCTCCCTCCAAGGCCTACTCTGCACGAGTTAGCACTGGGGATGTTTGCATACCAAATACTTAGCTAATTGATATTCTGTCACAATCTGCTCAGCAAATGTTAGGCTTTTTTATATTGTGTTTTGTTTTGTTTTTTAGTGACACTTTGGTTGTATTTTTAGCCAGGTTGGAGAGGGAAGAGAAGGAGCTACTTTAGTCGGCAGAAAATGTATCCCCAAGTCTTTCTTGCCTGGCCTTCTAAGCACAGTGAGCGCCTGTAACAGGGGGAGCTCAGGATAGAACCGGATCTGATTGTCTCAGCGTATATCCTGGGCAAGTTCAATGGGAGGATGAAGACTTCCTTTGTGCTTCTTTACGTTTCGTATTGTCACCTTTATTGTTAGTACTCTCGTCTCATTTTAAGGAAGCCAGCCTTGCTCAGCCATGATAGACACCTGTGTGGGAGTCACATAGCAAAGTCTGAGGCTCCACTGGAAGAAAAGAAGGTGGCAGGTCTGGCCCAGCACTTTGTGATGCTCCCCCCTCCACAATTCCATCAGTGAGAAGCACATCTTATTCTTACATTTAAGTGTCAGAATGTTCTTGGTAATCAAGCGAGAAATTAAAACATACCCAGACAGAATACCGTGCTCAAAGACTGCCAGAAACACCCAGAATTACCCATCATTCTTCTATCTGAAGGGCCTTGGACTTCTTGGTGAAAACAAAAATCGGATGTTACATGTTATTATTGATATAGCCTTTATCATTAGAATTGGACATTGCACTTCACCACTTCACATCTCAGGAAACACTAACTAATAGAAGCAATTATCACCCTCAAGAGTGTGTGGTGCTGGATAGAGCCTGGACGCTTGGACCAGAAGATAGGTAGGGTATCTGTTTCCACAGAGCTGCTGTTAGCTTCTGTTTTCACCCAGTTCAGATGGGCGGGCAGCACTTTGTTCTCACGTAAGGAGGCTGGGCAGAATCTGTCAGACAGAACTTAAATAACTTGGCCCATCAAACCAAGGCAGACTTTCCCTTCTACAAAATCATGTACCTGCCCTGACCTATGGAAAACCCCTTTCCCATATCCCACTACCAAATATGGCACCCAAATGGATTTAGTCATCTCTCTGAGGAGGAGCAAACAGAGTCAACCTTCACTAATTTAATCCCCCTTTAGTGGGAATTAAATTCAGACCTCAGTAATATGTGATGACACTTCTGCTTTCCAGTCTTATATAGAAATTATGCCTCTGACTCTAAATCCTACTTGTCTCTGACAGAGGAAGTGAACAATTGATCAAGTAATAGAGTTGCCATGTTGTAGGGAGTAGAAGGGGTCGAAAGGACAGACTGATGACAGGTGATGGGACTAGCAAGTCACGGGCTCGAGACTTTTTGTGAGTCAGACGGGGATGCTGGGCTGCGCAGGAGAGCTATTTATTTTGAAAATTACCTACAAGCGGATAATTGTACTTTATAGAGTTACATGAACCTGGCACACAGTAAACACTACATTTCATAGAACTTCGTAGCTAGAAGCCTTTAACATCATCTAGGTGGATTTCCCGAGAGATGCCTGAAAGCCCTCTGCGGACTCAATTTACTAGAAAATGTTTCTGATTTTAAACATTTTGTTAAAGAAAACCCAGCAGGGAATTTTAGAATAACTCCCACATGTGACAGTTCTGATTATTACTTCATGACCCTGGGAAAGGTGCTTCATTTTTATTGGTCTTTGCTCAAAGTGTGACCTTGGGCCAGTCATTTTCCCTCTCTGGATATTAGCATCCTTCTCTATAAATAACAACCCCAGCTCTGTCTTGCCTGCCCTCAGGGTGGAAAACAGGCTAAAGATGACAGAAGTGGAAGTGCCTTGGTAACCTTAAGGTCTGGTGTACTTTTTAAAACATAAAAAGTGTTGCTGTTACCTCCTACGTTCCTTCCCTCGGCAGTGACATCGCTCACACTGTGTAAGAGTAGCAATGTTTCCTCCCTCTCCATTCTGCTAAGACGTTTCTCCCCCTTAATTCTCTCCATCGAGTTACCCACAGATGGGTCCCTGCAAGAGCATTCTCCAATGGGTCGTGTGTTTTTTCACGAAAAACAAGCAAAGGGCTTGTGCGGGTCACAGTGTCTGCTGGGGAAGGCCAGCGTGCTGAGGCTTCAGTGGGAACAGCTGCAGGCCTCTCGCTTTTCCCCACGTCCTCCACTATAGGACCACTTGTCCTAGGCCTCTGTCAGCGTGGGTGAACCCTTATGAGCACAGCAGCAGCAAACCGCACAGAGGGTCCTCATAGTCTCCATTTCGGTCACAGCAGAACCTCATAATGACACAGAGTGTTGTTCATTCTAACGGGCATTTGGTGAGTGTTTGTTATGAGTCAGGTCCTGTGCTCGCCACTGGGGGTAAGAGATGAGTCAGACATGCTGCCGGCCCTTGAGACCTCATAGTTTACTGGGACAAACAGACTCATGAGTGTCACACACAGAACGTGTTGTGACCAAAGCCTGCACAGTGTTTGGACACAACGGATGGGCCACTGAAGTCTGTCTGAGGGCCCAGGGGAGGCTTCTCAGAGGACACGAGGTTTAAACCGGACCTTAACCAGGGTGCAGAAATTCCCCAGGGGAAAAAAAGTGAGGGGGTGCATTTCAGACAGGGGGAGCTGCAAGTACCAAGGCACAGGGATGTGCGAGGGCACCTTGCCTCTGGACGTGGTAACAGGGATGCTAGAGTGTGTGCTACCCACCGGGGAGTGGAAAGTGCTGAAGCTGGGGAGGGAGCCGGGGCCCCGGGAGCAGGCCTTTATGATGTCAGGGGGAGCCACCGCAGGGTTGTAGGGAGGAGAATGTCGTGGTCAGGTATGCTTCTTAGAGCATTTAGGTTGCAGCATGGGCTGGGTGGGAAGGGAGAGAGAAAATAAATTAACTGAGGGTATTGAAGAAAGGGGCAGATTCTAGAGAGATTTAGAAGGTAGAATTGATAGATCGTATGAGAAATTCTAAGTGCTTCTGGCACAGGAAATTAAAAGAGAAAGAAGGCAGACTAAACATTTAGTAGGGCCCACAGGTAAGATGATAAGCTATCTTGCTTCAAGCAAATCAGACCTTGACTTCAACTTATTGATTGCCTGGCCAAGATGGCCTATGTAGTGGTTGTGGACAGAAGGTCAAAAGCTTTGTGTTTTTTTTAAATTATTTTATCGAGGTCATATTGGCTTATAACATTATATAAATTTCAGGGTTGTGTGATTATATATCAGTTTCTATATACACTGCATCATGTTCACCACCAATAGTCTAGGTTTTTGTTAAAAACTGTTATTACAAATTATTTGTACAGCTGTAAAGGTGGATTCAGCAGACCTGGTGGCTGGGCCAGGGTCCCTTCTTCCCCACTCCTGCCCACATGTCTTAGGCCCACAGCTGATTGCTTTGTCAAGGAGAATGCCTTCCCCAGACAGAGAAAGGCCACGCTTTGGCTGAGGATTGACAAACAGCTGTGCTAGGATCCCCATAGTAAGTCCTATCCAGATGCATTATCACTCAGAACTGCATAGCTCTGAATGCTCGGCTGCCTGTAGCATACAATTGTAGACCAAGTGTAGGGCGAACTCTCAGAAGAATTGATATTTGAGCTGGGTCATGAAGGAAAGCAAAGGAAAAATAAGTATGCTAAAATGATATCTGACCTGGTTTGGCTCTTTTCTAGAAGTACACCTAGAATGCTCTAGAGCAGAACTGTCCAATAGAACTTTCTGCAGTGTTCTTCTGTACTATCCAATATGGTAGCCATTAGTCATATGTGGCTATTGAACACTGATATGTGGCCAGTGTAACTGAGGAACAATTTTTTATTTAATTTTTACTAATTTAAATTTAAATA